ATGGAGTCCGAAACAGTCGTCTGATTGACAACGGCCATTCCTTCGCTGGTCTAACTATATCTTGTATAGACATTCATTTTTCATGAATTGCTCTGTGTCTGGACGCCATTTTCTTTTGTGAAGTGCGTGTTTATTGTGTATTATGCTTTATTCCGTTCAACAGCTATTATTTCCTGTTATGCACCATTCATTCATGAGATATTGTTTTGTTTTTTTTCTGTCTAAAATAAATTTTGAACGGAATAAATGTATATATTCCCTAAACAGGATTCTGATATATGTACTTTATTCCGTTATAAATAAATTGAGATAAATGTATAACTGAATAAATGTCTTCATAAATGAAAACTATAAAAATTCAATATGTACTTAATTCCGTTATAAATCAGTTGAGATAAATGTATATACATGTAGTTAATGTCTTTATAAAAAAAAATGTAGAAATTCAATATATGTACTTGATTCCATTATAAATCAGCTGAGATAAATGTATCACGGAATAAATATCTATAAACAAAATTACTAAGATGTCTATTAACATGAATTATGTAAATTCATTATGCACTTATTCCGTCTTAAGTTCAGAGAAAGGGGTTGGGTCTGCTATTAATTGCTTGGTGTTCTATTTTCTTTATTTTTAATCTGAGTGGGTAATTGTTCTCTTTGTGGTTAATTTTAACGGAATAAATGTATCGGATATTTCAATGTACAGTGTAAACCATAACAGGTTAAGAAGTAAAAGTCCTTTGTTTCTAAGTTGCGTGACAGTGTAAAGAAATCCCACACGCTTTTGTAGACGTTAAATATTGAATGATCTACCTTTGAGGAGCTAATAATCTTGATATTTAGATACGTTGTCTCTCTCTATATATACTCCTGTTATAAGCATCGCGATGCCCCATTATGATAGAGTCCTACTCTGTTTACACCATCGGATCCAAGCTTGCTCCACATGAAAGGTGCATAGGTATTTTGCTGCATCAGGGAATAGCTCATGTATGGCTTGATATTCCTGATGAGAATAATGCATCATGAAAAATCTTGGTTCCCAGAACTTGTTCCAAGATTTGATTATTTGAAGAGCTTCCAAGATATTTTCTGTTCTTTCTGTCTCTACTATGAATTCTGCTATAGGTACATAGGAGACATTGGTGCGCACAAGAAGAAGGAATAAAGGCAGAGCATATTTTGTCGTTTTATACGTTGCATCTATCAAACCCAATTCACCATACTTCTTCAAAAGTTTTTGCTGATGCTTACTTTGGTGAATAAATATTTTTCTCAGGGCCTGAAACTTCCTCATCTTCAAGGTCATCATCCTCTTCATTATCTTAGGCAAAGATTTTCTCTGTTTTCTTGATACTTGATGCACGCACTTGGTAAGTTGACATGAGATTCCATGTATTGTGTAGTGGAACCATTTTATGTACGAACTGTCTAATACTGTGGATTTTATGTAGGGTGCGTTGATAGTCATGTTGTATTGACTTAACTCTTCCACCCAACGACCGAGCTGGCCTTCTGGGTAGCGAAAGTTGAGTAACCACTGAAGGCTGCTGTGATCTGTACGTGTGGTAAAGCATCTTCCCAGTAAGTAGTATCTAAAGTAGCGCGAAAAGACTATTACTGCAAGAAGTTCCTTACGCGTTGTACAGTAGCGTCGTTGCTCATATGACAGGGCTAAACTAGCATAGGTGATAGTTCTCTCTTCACCATCTTAGATCTGCTCCAATGGCATTCTCAGTTGCATCTGTATCCAAGATGAAATATCCATCCTTAGTTGGTAAAGTAAAAACTAGAGCACTTGTAAAAGCCAGTTTTACTTTTTCAAAAGCCGACTGTTGCTCATCACCCCAGTGAAACCTATTCTGACCTGTAACTGCATAAAGAGGAACAGTCTTTTTCAGAAAAATCCAGAAAAAAATTACACGTCACATCAGTTCTGTCTTCTGCAATACCTTATATGCAATAGCCGATATCATTCTGCTTAGAAGTTTCGAACTAGATTAATAAATGTAATTGCAGTGCGTGATTAAGGAAGGGATTTGGATTTTTCCTTCTTTGGGTATCCACTGATTTCCAAAAAGACCGAATCTGCTCTTTCCTAAAAAAAAACCCAGACAATTTAAATTAGTATTTTTAATGTGTTATAAGGACTCGAAGTCCTATAGTATGGATGCCGACTCGGCGTTAAACAATATAAAATCCAATACAGTGTAAATTTTCATTTTTATTATGTTTTGACCGTTTCTGTCATTTGTTTTGCTTTATCTGTACCCATTGTCCCTTTTAACGTATCCTCCTCATCTTCGTCTGAGAAAAAGTTTTTAAAAAATAGTGAAACATGTATAGTAAATCCGAACACGTTTTTAGCCGGGCTTATTGCTCAAAGAGCAATAGCCGGCTTATGGGGATCCTGTTCAAGGCAGGATGTTGACCCAATAGTCGCCAAATTAAACTGACGTTCTGAAATATAGTGTATCTACTTGTAATCGCTGTTGAAACAATTTATACTCATAATCTGATTAATTAAATGTGAATATAAACTGTACTGTAATTATTATTGTGCAGTTATCAAAAATACATTTGTTCTTAGTAGAGAGAGACCTTTTAACAAATTCCTACGCATAGCCTGGTTCCCTGTCCCTGTTTTGCTTCGTTTACTCTGCGTCACTGCCTCGGCAATGGTGAGACAGGGTACCAGGCTAAATTTTCCACTCATTCGGCAAACCTAATCAGCCGAGGAGTCCCTAATGATGCAGGTGTTAGGCCTACACAGTGCCCCCCTAGACATCGCCAGATTTCGTTTCTGGAGATAAACAAAGAAGACGCCATATTACACAAGGTATTAGGTATACGCGATTGCGGTATGGCATTCTCCATGGTCAAATTATACAGCTGGTACAACGAAACTTATGCGGAAATCGGAGACTGTCGTACAATCTGACCACGTTTTAAAGTTTGTGTATGACAAAGATGCGCAGTTTATAAGGGGAATTGTGCAAGCCTCCATGCGAGACCGGAGCTACAGGTTACTGTAAGTTCATCCCATTTCTTTGAGATTTTTGGAAGAAAGAAAAGTTTTTTTTAAGTCTTTGCCTTGCCAATGACCAAATAAATGGTTGACTACAGTATCTGAAGAAATTTTAAGGAGTTGAATGAATGTCATACAGACGTCTGCCTATGGCTGCTAAATCAAAGCTTTACAGTTTTATGTGAAGAATTAAAAATATATAGGAGTATGTAAAGAAATGTTGTAACTGTAAATGGAAGTAACTTTTCTCTATTTTTTCAATTATAAAGTATGAATTTAGAACCTCCAGCCCCTGCATGGGTTTTAGTTTCCAATTTTTATAGCCATAAAATGACTTGGAGTTGTAAAAGGGGTTTTTGAAGAAAAGTAGCTTGCACCCCCATCTTCAATAGAACTCCATTTTTCATAATATTTATTTTTTTTTATCTCTTGAAGAAACAAAAATGTAGAGCAAGTTATTGAGTATATTGTTTCTCCAAGGATGAATCCAGGATATGTCTTTGTACTCTCATGTCATCCAGAACTTGTGAATTTTTTCCTCATTTTCCCATTTATTTTCCCATTTATATATATTTTTATTTAAAAAAAATTAGAGCAAAAATAAATCGATAAAAATAACCTATTGCAGATTTATTAAGAACAGGTGCATGTGGTGGATTTTGATCCGCTCCCGTATAAAACAAAAATGGCGTCGTACAGCAGACGCTTCATACTCGTCGTAATTTTCGTTAAATAATGCAAGTAGAAAAAAATTACCATGGATAATTTCGTTTAGTATCATTGCATGCAGGAGAATATTCATTTGATTTGCACCAAAACATGACTGATTCTGTCAGGAAAATGGAAAGCTAGCCGAAAATTCTACGGCATGTCCTGTCGCATGACTGCTTTTTTGTGCGTTTTCAAAGACTTGATATATCAATGGTGAGTTTATTAATTCTAAACAACTTTTTCTTTCTCCGAGACGATTTGGGGTTTGGAAAAATTGTGTAATTTATGTAATTTGCAAAAAATTTACAAATAAATACCGTTTGACAGATTTTTAAACGTAAAAACGAAAATCGGCAATAATGGGTACTCGGCAATAATGGGTGTACTCGCACGTTATGTTTTATCCTGCCTATGCAATAAATCCAGAACAAACCTCTTTCCGAATTTCCTTGACTGAAAGTGTCTATGCAATGTCTTAATACATAATAATAAATTAATTTACAATTCTTTTTTTTTCTCTCTCCACAATTTTCAAGTTTCCATGTAAACATGCTTTTTACTTTTAAAATTGATAGTATCAGATAATATAAGTAAAATTCTAGGTGGTTATTTTTTTTTTATTTTATTAGATTACTCTTGGTTCTAACTACACAGTTGAACAGAGTACCTGTGAATGTGTAAATGGGATGGACAAATGTCACCATAAAGCCAGCAATGGGTAATTTATATGCAATTTATGTAATATGTAAATTCACTTGGTCTGTTTTAGGTATGCTTTACCAAATTTAATGTTAAATAGAAATTATATCAAAACATGCACACCAATATATATACCCGGTATATACAAGTGTGCAGTTCACCATGTGACTGTAGGTAGCAGGGTACTATTCGTGCCCTGGAACCTCCAAGTCCACTACCTTGGCATATATAAGCATACTTGTAACTATAAAATCTAACTTTAGGCCCCAAGACTATAATATAACTTAGTAAATTTATGGAACATGTTGATACAGGTACAAAAATGTCAGCAAAACTGATGTACGCCAGAGTTGGATTAAGCATCCAGAGTGCGCCACCTCGTCAAACTAAGACGATGGAAGAACTTTTTCCTGCACCTGACAGGTTTATAAATTACAGGTATGCATTTATTATGACTGTTTCATGAATGGTGCAAAATATTAAAAAATGACAGTACCCCAAAAGTGAAAATATAAAAAATAGAGAAATAGCATATTTTTTTATGGGCAATATACACTTTTTTCAATGGATGGAACTGTATCTCTCTGGTCGTCCATCCTAATTTTTTCAGACCAGCAAGCTACAGATCTGCAGCTAGCATGGTATATGTAAAACCATTCAGTGTTGTATTATGCTCCATTTTTCAATTTTTGTCAAAAATTACTAGGGCAACAAATAGGCCAGTCAATGATAGGGACAGGGAGTTCCTATATCAGAAATTGACAACTGTAGGGAGATTTTCAGGTTAATATATCTGGTGTTTTATTTTAGTGTCACATTGTTTACGAGTTTATTTTATTGTTACTTTTTTGAAAATTTATACTGTGATAGGATAGAATGCATATATATACACACATGTGTATATATATATATATATATAAATTCACAAAACACCTAACTAACTCATTACACCCGGACTTTGGACTTCAGATATTTAATGGCTTATTTGACATTGGACTGAAATTCTGACAAGATGTGCAGTCTTTCCATTCTTTTTGCTTTTTTTGTCTTTTACATGTTTAGTTTTGTTCTTGTCTCTTTTGTTTTTGTGTTGACTTTGTTTTAAACTTTTAATTATACATTTATACTATCAATTTCAATTCAGTGTGAAGTTTTGCATCAAGTCACAATCTTTTTTGACAGATGCATTAAGCGTAAACAATTCATGTGATTGATAAACTCATATTATCAACCTTGACACAGAAATAGTTTGTTGTACAAGCAAACAATCAGGGATTAGAAGAAAGTTCCAGTCGTAAAGCTTGCGGTTAGGAGGCGTATACTATTTACCTTGAACGCATCTGTCAAACTAGAAGATCGTGACGTAATATAAAACTTCAACTCAACTGCAACCTTTAGTAAAATGTTTAAATATTATTCACCCTATTTCTCATACATACTTAAAGGAAGTTATTTGTACATTCTTTCCACATATATACATATTGAAATCCAAAATTTATTTGAAGTAGTAAATAAAATAAGTTTGAAAAAATATTTAACATATATACCAGTATTAAGAATTGGTGATGTAACTGCAATACAGGTTTATTGAGTATTTGTTGTCTTTTTCACTGAGGGTTTAATTTTTTTGTTTAATTAAATCAACAGCAATGCATTGGATACTATCCCCCGAGCCGCCTGTGCCCACACTTGCAGTGCCTCTAGTTGAAGACCTCATCTCTAGCCAGGAATTTATTTCTGCAGAGAATCCAATCGCTTGGATGAAGCAAAGATTAATGATAAATGAGCAAGAAATCCAACAGGTAAAGACAAATGAGTTGCATAATGAATAGAATGTATTCTGTTTCATTATGAATGTTGTTCAAGTTTTAAGATTTTTGTCATGTTTTAGATTGCCTGTCTTACCACTGGTCAAAAGGAAAATTGCATGTGGTCATCTGTTAGGAAGAATAGATTAACAGCTTCAAACTTTGGTTGTGTTTTGGCAGCGATCAAGAGAAATAGGTATACTGGTAGTTTACATGCCTTTATATGTATATGTAATTATAAATGATACTTGTAAAAGCAGTTAATTATAAAATCAAAAATATTGAAAGTTTGCTCCTTATATAACAGATATCCTGTCTCCTTATACAAAAGATTATGCTCAGCTTATGATCTGTCAAAGAAGGATGCCATTATTTGGGGAACGTGCAATGAAAAAGTTGCAATTGAAAAGTATAGAACTTTTGGGGATGCAGTTGTAGAGCCAACAGGTTGGTACATTTCTTTCCGAAGCAAAATTTCAATTTCTTTAAAGCAAAATAAAAATTGATGATAAATAAAAATTTTTCTTGAGCTAATTTATTTAAAATTCAGTTATTAAACTGAAGTTGAAGATAATGAATATAAATATACTGTTTGTATATTCTATTTATAACAAGTCATCAATGCATAAGAAAATCAGAGTGTTGCATATTAATGCTATTTTGAAACTTTATAATACTGTTCATATTAGGTATCTGGCTACACTGTAATGGGGTTCTTGGGTCAAGCCCCGATGGACTCATTCGTCGTCCTGCTGCATTCGGATTCAGCTATCAGAATCCAGGACTCGCTGACATATTAGAGATGTCAAACGTTAAGCCAGAAATACTGGAGGTGAAATGCCCCTTTTCAGCAAAGAATATGACAATTCCAGAAGCTATTGAAAAAGTACACGATTTCTGCCTAGGTAATAATAGTGTGTATGTATTTGTTTGAATACGTTTCATGTACTGAGATATTACTTTAAATAATTCCAATATATTAGTTTGGATAAATTTAAGTACAATTTAGCAAATGTTAAAAAAGTTTTTTTCCTTCTGTTGTAATGTTAGTCCTCAAGGCAGATGATTTGCCTTCTCACTTTATTGTACAGTAAGGAACAAAATACTTATACATGTAAATATTTATTAGTTAAATAGTTTTGTCTTATATTAATGATTGAGGCACCAATGAAAATTCTTATTCTTTAAAAATCTTCAACATATATATTTTTTTCATACAGAGGTTCAGGATTTTAATGGAGTCAAGTCCTTCAAGCTATGAGAGAACCACCAATACTATGATCAAGTGCAAGGACAGCTTCATATAATTGGGAAATCCTTGTGTGATTTTATGGTCTGGACACCAAAAGATTGTGCGATTGTGAGAATTAACAAAGACATCAATTGGGAGATCAACATATCTGTTTTGACAGACTTTTATTTCTGTAAATTTCTCCCGTATTTACAACAGCTATAAGATATAACATTAAACATGGTGAAAACATTTTAATTTTAATATCTTAGTTATCTACACTTGCAAAATTCTGAGCAATTTCCTGCACAAGGGGATCCTGAAAATTGACTAAAACACAGCATAATTGAAAGACTTTTGTAGAAATATATCTAAATTGCTGCGGAACATGCCTTGAAATTTCATAATTCTTAATACGCTCATTTGCTCTTTCAACATGTATGCGTGACTTAGCAATTCTTCGACATAGTTGGACCTCACTGGAAAGGGAGGAATATTTAGATGTACTCCTTGGGGGCAACAACTTGTGAATAGTGAACCCTTTGTCTGCTAAGATCATATCACCTGGAGATAACTGTTCTAAGACTTTACAATGTTCTACAGTTGCAACATCAGATGTGCTGCCAGGGTGCAGTTTAGTAATAAAAACCAAAGCACCATTAGGTGCAACACCTGTAACACTTTTAACAGTGTGAGAATTTTTGTATCCGCTGTATGTGCTGGCCTGCAATCTCATATTCCCTGGAACATCCTGGGTGATTTCTGTTGCATCAAGTACTATTCTACATGAACTAAAATCCCCAAAACTTGTAGGCATAGACCCTTGCACATTCGTCATGAAATTTTGTGGATGTAATGATTAGGTTCTTTAATTGTGCTCATTGGATTTAAAAATTCGAAGCTTTTATTAGTTTCCATGGAAAGGGGGGAAAAGTCAAAATTCTTGAACTTCGATTTTTAAATCAAAGTACTGAAAGTACAGATAGGTTTGATGGTTGTCCAAGTTTGAGTTCTAGAAAAATGTCCATCCAATTGAGCTAAAACCTTTTTAAGGCTAATAGGCATGTTGTGTAGATGTATGGAACAAAGGTCATTTTGTGTGCATACGCATTTACGTGCGGATGCATGCAACATTAAATGACTTGTATACTGAATATTGCTTTAACTTTTACACTTTTTTGATGAAATGCTCATTTCATAAGGATATTATATAAGGATATATTAATAGTGTAGATAATATGACATTGTCAGATTAGCACGAAATGATGTGCATGCACGTGCACTTTGCTCTGATTGGCTGAAACAAAAATTTTAATATCTCTTTCTTTTTTGATGAAATACATTGAAATTTTAAATAAGTCATGCATTACGACAAGTGATGCATTACTACAATATGATATATAACAATAATCATGAAAACATGTGCATGCATGTGCACTGCAATCTGATTGGCTAAAACTTTAAATGGCTATAACTACTCTAGTTTTGAACCAAACAGGATGGGATTTATAACTTGCATATGCATGCACATGCGCTTAGCTCCGATTTTAAAATCAAAGTACCGAAAGGACTGATACGAGTTGATGGTTGTCCAAGCTTAGCTAATGGGCATAGTATTACTGATGACAAAATGAAAATTCTCCAGTTCGGGAAACATACGCTATTGCTTGCAATAGCAGACTTTCTAGTCATTATGTCGTCCCGAACGAAGTTGGGGACGACATATTGCGATTGTATGCATGTTTAAATACATCCTCAGTGTATCAGTAATATGATCATTTTTCTGCTAACTGTTGTTGTTGAAACGCAGGTAACAAAATTCGATGATAATCAGCATGCACAAAATTTTGCTGGCTAACTGTGACCTCTTAGCTTCGGACGTAGGAAATATTGATCCTTAGTAGTGCCTGACGCCATGGCATAAGGCAAGAAAAAAATGCTCAATAACAATAAAGAACAAGTATATAAAGCTCAAAAATAAAAAGATAAAATCACCCTTATACTTCATCAAAGTTAAACCTATTGTTCTTATATAAAATTTAACGATGCTTTTTCATGCGCTGCATCTAATAATTCCTTATATCATTCATACTTTAACTGAAACCTGTTCTTTTCACCTGTGTGCTGTTCTTAAGCCAGGCTTTCAGTACTTTCAGTACTTTGATTATTTCACATGTTTGTTTTATGCTATGAAATTTTAAAGGTGGCAAAGTATCCTTTGAATGTTAAATATATTTATATGAAATTCATTTATATATTATATTGGCTTACCTAATTAGAATAAAGATAAACATTTGTAAATATAAAGTAACCCCATTTCAAAGTATTTTTGAGATAAGTGGAAAATGTACCTTTTCCACAACAGTTTCCTCAATTGTTTTAAAAGCAAAATGGACTGTCTCTGATTTTTTTTAAAGTTTTCACGAACGATGAGTCCCATTCCGTCCGTATTCAAGTATCTTGACTGTGGTTTCTTAGAATCACACACCCCCCCCCCCATATTTTCCTTAACTGATATCCAGTGTTGTTGGTCAGAGGGTTTGATTATCATCCTAACGTTCCCTTACGAGATGTCCAACATCGGTTGATGCGAGTCCATGAATGCTTTGTGAGTTCAATGCGAACCCCTTACTTCCCACAGCTGATCGAAGGACTTCGACACTGTAGAGCTCTTCTCTTCACGCATAGGTTCTCCTCTTTGACTAACGCCGTAAGAGGGGTTTAGCAACATGTTTATCCATAGTGTGTCAGTCATTCTGTTTAAATCATCATTGAAGAAAGAAACTGACAATTCTCGTATTACATTGTTAACAGCACACAAACCGCAAACAATTGAAAACCCTTGTCTTTCAAAAGGACCATATTTGGTGTGAACTGTTCGCGCTTAAGAAATTTTCGCGTGTTAGTTGGTTCCTAAAAAAAAACATCTTTCACATACTTTAAATTTGCGACCAATGCAATAATTTATAATGCTTTCTGTATTAAATCATAGAGCTCTCGCCATTGTGGAAGCAGTTCATTTGGACAGACCTTCATCCGCAAAATTTGCATTGCTTCAGCTAGAGGGTTTATCGGTGTTGTGAATTCGGTGATGACGTAAACTGCTGACGTTTCTCCCTTGATGATATCCTCTTCGGTAATAACGTCCAGCGGCCTTCCTTGCAAGAAGACTTCCTGGTATTGTTTTAGGATTAACTTCAGGTCTGTATTTCCCTTCTTTTAAAATAATGGTAGAAGTTCATAGAAAATCTGTTTTCAACATTACAAATGTTTCTAACTTTTTAAAAAGATAAAGAATACAAAGTCTATAAAAAAATTTGGTTCTCTATGTCCTTCATGTACATCTGTTACATGGTTAAAACATAGAGACCCATTTCTCCAGAATCAGCTCTCCATTCCCATCACTTGCAGCTGCACAACGATAAATGTGATTACTAATAGAGTGGACCCATGCAAGGTTTTCTTTTTTTTTTTGAAAGAGTTTCCAGCTTTTTGAAGACTCCTATAGAGTTGAAAGATATTGTCGCTATTGTTGCATTTGGTTTTATACTCTAGGATTGGGACAATACATTTTCTTTCATATCAATACATGTTCTGATATTTATATAACGTATTATCTTTAATACTCTTATACTCCTGGGTCATAAAAGCTAGATGAGCTCACTATTGTTCCAAGTCTTGCTTTAACAAAAGGAATGTATAGTTGAAAAGTGAAACAGATTAAAAGTGATATATAAAGTCTCAAACCTAATATTTTCACTTATAAATAGTTCGATCATCTTGTATAACAGATAATGTATATATACCTTTAGCAACATGCCAAACATCAAACATGTGTACAATCTGTGGTTGGTCGCGCTTCATGTAGACTTTAACGTGGCTGTGCCTGTCGAGTTCTAGATGAGATATTGGTATTTCCTCCTCGTGAAGCTTTCTCAAACACCTTTTTAGTCCTTCAAGCTCCACATGGTACGAGTTCGGCACTTCATTGCTCTGAGTAGAAATCAGATACCAGTACATGTAGTACTTGAGAGTATGATGGTATTGTGAATTGAACTGTTGATAAATTTAATTTCATCGCTATCAATATGCATATAATTTCTGGATTTATAACTTTAACATAAATACGTAATACCTGGACAAGTTAAATATCCAAAACTTTTGGCGTGCTCAGGTCAATGACTGAGCATGAGCCGAATTTTGCAGCTACGGGCATCCCCACCTAACAGCGTGGTCTTTGCTTTTTATATCCTCAAACATACCTGGCTGATTCTGCTGCCAAACCTATTGATCAATAACTTCAATTCGTTAAACCAACGAAATTAGAGAAGTGATGGTAGAATTATTATTAATTATAAAATGCTATAGATTACTAATACATGTAATACGATACCTGCTCAATTGCTGGAACAAGATAGAGCTATTGTATGGCATTATATGTCCTGTAATTGAAATTCCTGATGCCTGCAAATTTCAGGAAATTGAGAGTCTTATCAGGACTGCATCCGCTGAATTATATGGCAGGAGTAACAACAAGGTTTCCCCATGGCATCATTCCAGAGAAAGGTTGGCTCACCCACTATTAGGAGATGATGCACACTGGCAGCAGTGCCTAAAACAAAATACTAAATATCGATATATCCTATTCGTACTACACAATACTATTGTGATTCAGAGTCGGTAAACAATATGTTTATAAACAAAATGTGTAATGTACAGTTGTAGATATATTTCATATTTATGTAAGAATTTATCCGTATAATTAAATGTTAAAACATTTATAAACTTGTGTACCTAGAACATTCCAAGTATAATCAATTTGGAAGAAATTAATGCCACAGTTCAAGCAATGTGTGGATAGAACATGTTTAAAACTGCTATAGTACACAATAAACTTGGTATCCCCATTCATGTCATTCTTGGTCTCTGTTGTAATATCATCAAGTTTTACCAAGTTAAACCCATGTATAAAGGGGTTAAGGAAAAGACTTATAAAATGTTGGAGTTGCATACTAGATGACGATGTATTCAAAGAACTATTCCCAACAACGTTTATGGTGGCATACAGGAAACACAAGAATATAGGCGATCTTATCATTTGATCCAAATTAAAATCAAACAAGAGTTTAAATAAATTGATTGATTTATGCATAAGGTGGACCCCTGATGATGGCACACCTTATCACAATTATTAAATGACATGTGCTATTAATACTGCCGAAACACTCTTCATTAAAATTTACGTACAAACAACTGAC